ACTAACGCAAGCAGAGGCGCCCATTTATTTAAATCCGTTGCGATCGAAACGCGCGATCCCGAGGAATCCCCGCGCGCTACTAAAAACGCATAAATTTATCGATACGCAAATAATAGGTAAAAAAAAGAAATCGCGATTTCCGAAAAAAAAAATACAGCAGATTCTTTCGAAAGTTTAGACCAGGCACGGTCAACCTTTCTCGATTCTACTTTCAAAATTTTCAAACTTTTTGCAGGCCGAAACTGTCTTAAAAATATTAAAATTATCTTGTTTCTTGTAAGAAGAAATGCCAAAGTTGTTTTTGATGTTAAACTAGTTTTCTAGATTTCCCTTTCTTTATTTTTCAAAATGTCGCGGGCCGAACGTTGGCCATGCCTGGTTTTAGATCCGAGTGAATATCAAGCAAAAATGTCCTAGCTAAAAAATAAAATAAAATGCTACAGGAAACTACACGTAACTCGATACGTAAACAAAGAAAACTTAAAAATCACATCAATTTTCGAGAGAACAGCCTGTTTCAGTGATAAAATTTAGATTGCCAGTCGCGCAGAAACTAAACGCCAGGCTCGATCTCTCTACAAAGAATAAAAATCCTCCGTTGTTTTAAAGTTGAATAATTAAAAGGGAGATAATAAATGTCACATAAAAAGATGCAGCTTATTGCTTCGACGATCCAGATTAGATCGACAGACCTAACGAGTAAACAAGTAGATTCAAATGTCCCGGCTTTAAAAGAAAAAAAGAAATAAAGCTTTACGCGAGTCGTTCCGCAAGGAAAAGCGATTTTAAGAAAAAGAACTGTCACTCCGAGCCGCTCTCGCACGGGCGCGTGTCGCACACTGAATGGGAGGGAAGAGCTGTCGCACGATAGTTTTCTAACCTCCATGTTTAATTGCTCGTGAATCGCGGGGGCGAGGGGGGAGGGTTATGAAAGCGACAGCGTCGCAATTGAGCGGCGAATGTGAAATCCCAGGGCCGGGTAAACCGAGACTTGGTAGATCGCGAGAATCGGAGCGGCGAGAGCCTCGCGGCGGTTTTCCCGCCCGCGAGGATCCAGGACGTGGCGCTCGCGAGGAGCCGCGTCAGCGTGACGCCGCGCGGAAGGTCCGCCGAATCAGCTGACGAGCCCGCGGACCCGTCGGCCGCGCGGCGTCGGCCGATTCGACTCGATTCATCAATCGAGTCGACCGGGCCCTCCGCAAGGGAACGTCTCGGCGAATCTCTGCGGAATCGCGCGAGGCCGCGGTTTTACCTTTGCCATTTGACGCGCGAGCCGGCGGCCGCGTCTCGCGGCCAGGGATCAGCGGCGACGTAGAAGCGTCGTTCGTCGCGGGCAGAGCACACGCGCGTTTTCCACGGAAACCGGGGGATCGCGGTCACTTGGTGACCGACGCGTGGTCCGCGGGTCCGGGTGACGCCCGTGAGAAGACATTCCTGTCGCGCGACACCACTGACGGACTCCGGGAGTCGCGAAAAACGGAGCGGCAAGTGCGAAGTAGGACTGACGGGACTCGCTCACTGTCGTCGCGCGACGGCGCGCACCGAAACACCGAACTCCGAAGTCCGGAGAGCGGACACGCTCGGCTTTTCTTCGGAATTCGCCGAGCGCCTCTCTACGTGCATGAGTCGCGTATGGTGAATTACATAGCTACCGTGACGATTATATTACCGGCCGCGATTTACGATTCGAATGCAACAGCTTAGTTCTTTTTGTCGTTTTACTTTGCATTATATTTTTTATGAGTTAGAGAAATTCTCGTTCATACAGTTCAAACTTTTAAGATGAACGTCGTCTTGTGCCTTGATACCATTGTTATCAAGCTATGATAAATAATTTTACCTAGTAGGTAATAAAGAGAACTTTATTATCGATATTTTATACAGTTTGGATGATGGTGTCGATAAACGCCAGTAGGTGCGCAAAGATCGATGTAAACAGAATGAGAATGTCAGAGGAAGCAATGTAGCAGGGGAATCAATGAGTTCCGTTTGGGAGGTGGAGTGTACATACAACACGTCTTCTAACCTAGTGCTTGTATATCACCAATTAATCGTCTATAATTCTATAAAGTCTATAATTCTACAACGTCTATTGGTTCGTCGTGGCCGTATCGGCTACCGTTTATCAGGAGCCGGGCGCCATAATTAGAAGAAGAAGAAGAAGAACCAGGAATCAATTTAACGTAAATAGCGTCGTTACAGCACGAACTGCAGTTATTTTGCACTTAGTTATAAGTGGGTGTAATGATGATGCCCGGAAAAACTCCAGTACAAGGTAAAGATTTGCGAATTTTTATGACACCTTTGCGCAATCGATACTTGACAGTTTTTGACACCTGACAATTTCTCTTGTCCTGTTCTAGAGAATCCCTTGGGCCTGTCTTGGCACGACAGCGCCTGGATTCCCGTCCTTAATCCAAGCAACATTATGGATTACTTCTCAGAAAGGAGCAATCCGTTTTACGACAGAACCTGCAACAATGAGATAGTCAAGATGCAGCGTCTGAGTCCCGATCAATTGACGTAGGTCTCAATCGATTTGCTCCCCGAATCGCATGTTCAAACATTATTACCGTAGGGATAATTGTTGTGGCTATTTTCCAGCAATATGACTGGCTTGGAGTACATTCTGCTGCACGTGCAGGAGCCAATTCTATACGTGATTAGAAAACAACATAGGCATTCGCCAACTTTAGCCTCGCCAGTCGCCGATTATTACATTATAGCCGGCGTTGTGTACCAAGCTCCAGACTTAGGGTCCGTCGTGAGTTCTAGACTGGTAAGCGAGACAGAATGAACATTGAAAATGTTGTCAAGGTGCTGTCGGGATATTTTTGGTATATTGTCTTTAGCGTAGTATATACGTTTGAGAGAGAGAGAGAGAGAGAGAGAGAGAGAGAGAGAGAGAGAGAGAGAGAGAGAGAGAGAGAGAAATTGCGATTTTTAGATCGCTAAGAGATGCGTACCTTATGTAGTTGTCCACAGTTCACCACTTACAATCTGCCTTCGACGAAGCAAGCACCTGCTCTCGATATCATCCGAGTAAGGGCTATTCGTGGGACTTTAAGAATGGCAAGGCCTTGGCTGCTAAGAAAGAGACGCCGGTTCGCGAAGAGCCTAGCTCGCTGTTTCAACGGCAGAGAGTGGATATGTTACTCGCAGAACTCACTCGTAAATTTCCCTTACCGGTGCATAAGCCGGTACACCAAGCAACAGAAGCTTGTACGTGTATTGCAGCTCTTATACCTTTCCAAATTTTATCTTGCATCTCCACGTTTATCTTTGATATTATCTTAGTGCCGTTTAGCATCAGCATTGATCTATTTTCTTGGTTATTTCAGCCGTGGAGATTAAGCAGGAAGTGAAGACTGAGAAGAAAGATATGAAACCGCCACCAGAAAAGAAACCTAGAATTAATTAATAATAAGGATATAAAGTATACGTGTCACACTTTTCAACTTGTATAATAATAGAAAGGGTAAGGGAAAGTGGAACGGGATTCTGCGTGTGTCTATATTTAGTTAAATATTTTTTCAGTGCAGATGGTAACGTGTTTGTGTGTGTGTGTGTGTGTGTATTTGTAAAGTATTTGGCTTCGTATTCATTATAGTTTATAAGTTGTAATAAAAGCGTTAGGTTTAAAGAGAAGCGATCTTCCATCGTAATTATATATAATTATATATATGTATATATTATATTATACATATATGTATATATATATATAATCGTCGATAATTTTATTAATAAAAGTTTTAACAAACTCTTCACTAAATTGGAAGCATTTATTTTGCAAATGACTTCAGTTATATGTGCAGCTTTAAAATGTAATATTACGTTTGATCGATGAAAAAATATTAGAAACAAAATTTAAAACTGGAAAAAAGGAACTAAGTTTGCTCAATTTTTACAAACGATCGTTATACAATTTATGAACCCTCAGTGAATAATAAAAAAAGGGTTTAAATTACTCTTGACAATATTTTGACATCAATTTCATCGCTCCGTGTTTTTTATTGATCAGAAGAGCTGCGTTATTTTTTAACTTTACCTTTTATAGCCTGAAAATAAATTTCTGACGATCACAGATTCCGCGAATATGAATAAACCCAAATGAATTTACAATGCACTGAAAATCAAATTAAATTCTGTTCAACTTTAGCATTTAATTATGAACGATAGAAATGCGGGTTGTTGAGAAATGTGACTTTTTTATGGTACACGTCACTCAAATTTCCCGCTGCCAAATGCGTAACAGATTTTTATACTAAAAAAAAAGTTCGGAATTAATTTTAAATGAGAGTTCTTGTGTCAGAAAATATAACAACTCCCTGTCCGGAGAAACAGATTGCAACGAAGGTGAAAGATAAGACGTGAATAGAGGATAAAACGTCGATCGCGCCGTTCAATTGACACGCCGACTCGCTGGCACCTTCAGTCTTGTCTGCGGCGGATTCATCTGAGAAAAATGATCCTAAACCGCGCGGATCGTCGTACGCGCCGCGACACGCCGATATACCGTCGGAGATGATATGCGACGCGCGCACGTGCGGCGGCTGCCGATATCTGGAGGAGCCAGACGACCGGACGGCGAGCCTCGCGGAGTTCCTGGCGAACTGTCAACAGGCGAAATGCAAGGTGGTTCGTCTGGTCCGTCAGCAAATAAGTAAACTGCAGAATATGCAGGTACGGGTCCCCGCATTTCCCGTAATTGGACGCGATCGATCCCCCCCGCCATCCCCCCGACGCGTCCACCACGTCGCTAAAATCACCCCGCCGGATCGTTTGGAGAACGGTCGCTCTCTCTGTTTTAAGATACACGCCCGGCGGGACGCGCGTTTACGTACGCGCGTGTTGATTTTGCTCTTGCACGCGATAATTCGAAGCGTTTGTGCAATTTGCGCGACGCGACATTTGGGAAAGCGCAAGTGCGCCGGAGGAAATTAAATGTGTTTCCAGAGAAGTTAAATATATAAGAAATTAAATATATGCCCGTGCGGGCAGAGAGATATCGTTCTCGATGAGGGCAAAAAGAATGCAAGACAAAAAGAGGGAGCAGAGAGAGAGAGGGAGCGCACGCTGTTTAAATTATTTAAATTTGCGAGCTGCAAAAGCTGAATAAATACTCCTTATTAACTTTTTACCAGTTGTCATCTTTTTCCTGCGAAAAGGGGACGAGTTAAAGAATTTAGACGAAAATTGAAATAGGATAGTTCAAGCCTGCAAGTAATCCTTTTCTCCTCGCTTCTGACCTTTCCCGCTCTTGTTTTATTAATTTCCTTCGGTGTTTCAACTCGCTCCAAAAATTTACCCCGCATTTCTGATCGTCAACCTAGAAATGTTAATTTAAGATGTCGTAAACGTCGTCCGCGGAAAGCAAAATATTTCTTCTCGCGATTAGCAATTAGCATTTTAAACGAGGATTATTATTCATATTTTGAAAGCCAATATCTTTTCATGAATCTAAAAGAAATTGCCTGATCCAGTTTGGCGATGAAAAACAAAACGGGAATCTGGACTAATATTATTGAGGCGACCCGTGCGCGCGGGGGTTTTTCGTTTAATTTTGGCATTTGAATGTAATTATTAAAAATTAATTAATAACAAATTAATTATTCATTTATATAATTAAGGATTAATTAAGCATTAATTAGAAATTATTAATAAAATGCATTTCAATTTTGTTTAAAAACCCGCGCGAGCTTACGGATCGACCCAATATTATAATATAACGATTATAAGAAGGATTATTATAATATTATTATAATTTTATACATCATATTATTATTATTATTATATATTTTTGCCGTAGTACGAGCGTTTCCTGGTTGCGGGGGATGAGGCGCGCAAGAAGATGCGTAACGAAACGCCCACTAAAATGCACGAGGCTCCCGACAATGAGGTCCGCCAAGTGTACGGCGAAGTACACGAGCCGTGCGACGATCCGCACGGGGCGGAAGGCGAAGTGGAGCAGGCGTTCAACGAGTCGCATGACAAACTGTACGAGGCTGCAGTCGCGGAGCGAACTGTCGGGGCGACAAACCCAATAGAGGTGGGGGAAAAAAAGGTAGATTCTCTCCTGGCTTTGATTATTCAGGGTTTCTCGATTAATCGGTTATTTGCAAAAAGTAAAGTTAGTTTTAGTTATTAATAAAATGAAAGTGAACCGCCTATCACACGGCACCCTATGCGCGCCGACCGAGAGGATGCGATGTCGATTGCGCGACGCATTTAAACTCGAAAGATTACTGACGCACAAATTGTTCGTCTCAGAAGGCTGGAATAACCGGTTACGAGAATTATTATTATTATTATTCGCCCCTTTGGGGATGAAATTAATAGCTCATGTCCCCCGGATGTTCTCTGACAAGCGCGCATGTCTAGAACGCGGCGACCGCATCCTTGCGTCGCGCGGCGTCTCCTGGGAGAGCGGTGGACCGCAAGTGGATGCTGCGGATCCTGGATCGCGTTCGTCATCGAGCGCATCTGATACTGGCGGCCGCTGCGGTCGGCGTGATAGTCTGGACCGCGTTGGTGTACGGTGTCTTCCTGGGCGCGACGGCCTGCGGAGGCGGTCGCACCTGCTTCCGATCGTCCCTTAAATATACGCACACCAAACGCACGCTCTTTTAACCCGCCCCGTCCATCGATCGTCCCCGTGAAACGGTGGTTAAAGTTAACCGAGCTTCGGCCTGTCCCACTTCCGCGTCCGCGTGGAGAGATGGAGGATGACCGGAGCTGGCTTTAATGAAGATTGGGAACATCCGATTTGTAGACGCGACCTTTTTCTCATGCGAAATTATACGGAGAGCGTCTACCTGGTTCGTATGACTGTCTCTATGTCCGGGGTGTCCTCAGTAAATCCGGACTTTTAACGCTGTCATTTCTAAGAGGCAAAGCGCTGGTTTTTAGCGTACGCATCTGTACACCACACGCTTTGCCATTATAAAATTCTGAATGAATATCTTTTTTTTAAATAAATACAATTGAAATTATCCCCGGTCGTTTCTTTCCATAGGGAAGATATTAATTGTTTATTATATACTGTAATTATCAGCTATTGTACGCGAGACTCTTTCCGCGCGCAAAATTGAAAGGAAATTCATATTCTGAAAGTAGTACCTTTGCCTTTCGTGTCCCTCTTTATATTTAAAAGAGATCGGCTTGATCCGATTTGATTATCGGAAAGAAAATTGGGTCTAGACTAATATTATTATATAAGAATTACAAGAGGGATTATTATTATATTATTATAATTTGGTAGGACGAAATATATTTGGAGCGTATCCATCATCTCAGTATATCGGTATATAACAACGTATCTATCGCAAATGTAATATAAATTTCAAGCGGAGAGGATGAATTTTTCAGATCTAAATAACTCCAGAAATGTATAAATAACAATAAAAAAGAAAAAACTTTCTCTCGGACACTCAGAAACGATTTCGGCGAAGAAAGGAGGTGTCGAGGTAGAAAGCGGCTGGGACGAGGTATATCAGCCGTGACAAACGGCGCTGTGAAATGACGAGACGCTTCAAGACTTGACACAAAATATATTAAACTTGGAATAGTACACCACGTGTAGCGTTCGGTTAAATTATGCGACTAAATCGTCTTCGCGACGACTCCGCGACTCCTCGCCCCGGTCTCGCGCTGGATCGGCGGGGGGAATCCTAAGGACTCTCGATCATCTCGTGGAGAGATCGTGGCGCGCCACGATATGCTACGATATGCTGATATGTCTGCTACGATATCGTCATCGTGATATGTCACACCGGCGCGTATTAACAAGCGAGACACGAGATTCGTTGACTTTGTCTTTGGTATCCGTCGTGGCATCGAGCGACGGCGCACGATACAGTTTTCAGGCTTCCGAAATTGATCGCCCTTATGATACGCTGTGTGTGTGTGCGTGTTTTGTGTGTGTGTGTGTGTGTGTGTGTGTGTGTGTGTTTTGTATCGCGTTGCGGGTAAGTATACGTGGCTGTTTGAGTCTCCCGATTCACTCCCGCGATCGAGTTTACACGCAGCTCTCCGGGCCCGGTATGGAATTGGCGATGATGATCTCCTTCATCAGGTTGCGATCCGCTTTGAAGCTGATGGGCTCCCAGGACTTGGCGGAGAACGGGTTCAGCTGCCAAGTCAAGACGAGATATCGGGTCTAAATCTAATTAATACTCTCCGCGCGCGGGGAAAACAGAATCGGGAATCGAAAGTAGAGTAGCGATCGCGCTTCCTCGGCTTCTCGCCGCGTCGAGAGATCGATATTATTCATAACGGTTATATACCGGTCGCGCGACAGCTAAACTGAGATTGGTTAGATAGCCGGGCTTAATTTATAAGCGATCGATAGAAATTCAATCTACGGCAGATTAAATTTCTAATCTTCCAAATCGGAGTTCGGGATCTCGCGCACTATTGAAACTTCCTATCTACGCGAAGAATCGAACGGAAAAGAATCGAAGGTACACACTTCACGTTATTATTTACTTAATTATCCCGATCCTTCTGTCGAGATAATTAGAAATCATTATACGGGACGATTCGCCGAGGATCGAAGACGCGTGGCGTCGCCCGCTGCAATTATTCCCCGACGCAGGGATTCAAGTGAATCCTCCCCTCGGGGGACGCGACGCGGCGGAAAACGTAAATTGATATCGGATTAATTTGCGGGCCGCGTTATTTACGTTATTTCAAACCGATTCCCGTTCTTCTCAAAGGAGCGCTATGTAATTTCTGGACGTGACTTACGCTGCATCTGTTCGTCTGCAGCCCCTGCTTGTGAATGTCATAGGGCGCGAACAGCGTGTCCGGTCTCACTGGCAAAAACAGTTGTGGCTCGCGTTTGATCTTCTCTTGGTCTGAAACATTCACGTTATTCCGCTTCACATCGACGGCTTTCGAACAATTTAAATAAAGCGCCGAGCGCTATAATAAAAAAAAAGAGGGATTCCCGTTAAACGTCCGTTCGGCGCTGCGGGGAAGAGCGCTCTTTAAATGATAAGTTTTATCTTCAGCGAATGGCCGCTGAAAATGTCTCGCTTTCGTCCCCGCTGTTTAAACAAGAGCTTGTTATTCGCAGGAACGTTTGCCGCGAGGCGCCAAGCTCAAAATAGCGTGTAACCGGATTAAATCGGAAAGTGACAGATCGACAGAAGTCAAGAGACCCCGAATGGGGTTGCCTATTTGAATCTTCGCTATTCCATAAATCGTTAAAACAACTCACTCTTGGCGCGGCTCTCTTTTCGTATTCCGGTTACCTCGTGACGGGTATATCAGACGAATGTTAGATCGATCCGGTTCGGCCGGATCGACGAGTGGAAGTAACACCAGGGGGGGATACCTTGCGGCGACTGTATAATGTCCGGTTGATTATTGAGCGCGTAATCGGTGACCTGCTTCAGCGTGTACTCGACGAAGTACGTGTGGTCGCCGTGGGTCACGTCCAGCATCGAGTTGTTCCTCGAGTCCGGCGGCGTGATTATCGGCTGCTTCATGTAGGGCTCGATGTGCACCGGCGACGTGGTGCCGCGTCGCCGGTACATCATCAGCATCACGGAGATGACGGTCGCGCCGAAGGCCAGCAGGCAGCCGACCAGCAGCAGGATCAGCGGCAGCATGCTGACTCCGGTGTCTGGAAAACGTGGCGACGGGGATCTGTGCACGCTACTCTTCGTCACGCGTGATTAAAGAAGGCCCGTCGCTCGATAATACTACGGTTTTGCGCGATGTGGCTGCGCCGGTTGTACGCGCGGGATCAATCGCAATTAATCGCGGCAGGGCTCAGATTAATGTTGTTAGAGAATACATTTTACCACGTTGTAGTTAGATGAATTGCGCAATTACCGTTAGCTGCGTGAATTATACGGCGCGCGCGGTGGCGATTGCGTTTAAATCCGCCGCTGTCTTGCGTGATGATGCAAGAGGTACCGTTCCTTCCCCCCCACGGAAAAATATATATTTCATTGTATATAAAGAAGAGCAGAAAAAATACATTCGTTTTATATTGCTCGTATACGCGTTATACACTGCTACTATAAATGTAATACCAATAAATTGGAATTTTTCATATATCATTCATATATATTATATGTATTAAAAATATTAAGTCGATAGTCGAAAGTCTCGAAGTATTGTTGTCGCTTTACCGAGATGCTGATTGGCCGTCTCGCTTGTGCGATACGACATGCTTCAGTCGTGTTATTTGCAGTTGTGAAACCATGTGAATTTTTAGTAAGAGCAAATGGCGCGCGCTTGTGTTGTCCAGTATAATAGAATGTGTTATATATGTATATGCATTATAATACACAGCTGTGTACACAATTATATACGTCTAATGTATGCACTGTATATTTTTTACATTAGGTGTTCTAAGTGTCTCAGAATTTAGGTTCTCAACGCTTTACCAGCGGAGGTCAAATTGATTTCATTTGCCACTTTTATTTGCCAATTTAACTGTTAGATCTGACTTCTCGCCGTTTCTTATATACCGCTGTTGGTTGATTTTTAAACACGAGAAAGTGTAACGATCGTCGCCTCGCGGCAGCGACGAGCGTTGTTGCGAAGTTATAAAAATATAATTTAAATATTGCTCATATATTTCACATACATTTTTAGTATATTTCTGACATATATAATATTATGTGCGATTTTGTAAATAGAACTTTTATATATCAAATGTATGAAATATATTATATTACCATATATTTTCACTCACTTTTTGAAATATATATTTTTCCGTGGGGGTTGTTTTCCGGAAAGTTATAATATGCGAAAGGTATTTTAATTGAAAATGAATTACTTGTTACCCCAGCGAGAAATGGCTCGTCGATCGATGTCGAAACGAATCATTTCTCATTGGGACTGAAACGAGAACCCGTAGCAGAAGTTTAGCGAATCAGATTATATACACTGTGAATATCTAACGAAGGATGCAACGAACGTGACATGTTATAAATAAAAAGTGCATTTATCTATTTATTAAGGGACGTTTCCTGCAGAGCAGACAATAAAAGTAAGAGACATGGCATAAATCTTTCTAGTTCATTTGGAAGTTGTGGAACGTCGTTTAGTTTATTATTAGATTTCTATTATTGTCTAACTTGACGTGGTTCGATTGAAACATAATTAATTGCCGCAAATATATTGGATGTCGAGATAAAAACAAAGATAAGATCAATCTTCGAATTACTCGATTCAATTTTAGCTCTTATTTGTCATGAATCTCTGTCAATCCTTTTTAAGACGGCCCGTCCACGCGGATATCGTCAATTTTATTCGATTTAATTCGTTCTCGTGGGAAGCCCTGAAATATACATTCTAAATCGGGTTCCCAAGTCGAATCAGTTCCGAAAGGTCAAACCTCCAGGATGATTGTCTCTTATCAGGGAAACAATTGGTAATATATTTACATAAAAACGCTCTGTCCGCGTCCCATTTCTATCGCTGCTGTTATAAATGGCTGGAATTGAGTTCTTTTTTAATACGCAACTTTTGTACACATTTCCATCCGGAATACGTCGAAACGAAATATGAAAGAGAAAAGGGGGGAATATATCACGCAGAGGAGATGAAAGTTAAATTTCGACACAGTTGACGGAACGAAAGGTCTTTTCTACAACTTGATTACCTGTGTGCTTCTCCGAATCGCGTAGCATTATGTCCTCCAACAGCGAGACCTCGCTGCGGCCCTTGGCGTTCACGGCGTAGGTCACCAGGTAGAAGTGCGTGGCCGGCAGAAGATCGGCCACGGCGATCCGGAAGATCGGCAGATCGGCCGACACGCTGGACGCGTTCACGCGGAGGTTGCCGGTCAGCACCTCGTAAGCCTCCAGCCGGAACTCCTGGTGGAGCCCGCCGTCGTATCCCGGCACGCACTCGACCTCCAGGATCTCCGAGCTTTGGTTGAGCGACGCCTTGATGGTGCAATTGTTGAGCGGATTCGGTTTCACTGCTCGGACACATTTCTCGCATTGACTTTCAGTTTTAATTCGAAAGGGGCGTTTTCATCTCGCGAGATTCGAAGAACTTTCTGGTGTGATGTAACGATTGAAAAAGTGAGAAAATCTAATATATAAAGTTACACGCGGGGAGAAGAAAGATATAATTAAAGTGTCTTTCATTCCCTTCAGCATCCCTTGGATACAAAGGCGGCAGGATCGAAGTAAACTATGATGGAACGTAACACGGGCCCGTCTCGCGGAAAGTGAGCGATAAAACAAATATTTTCGAGCTTGCGACGTACGGCACGATAAGCCGGCTGCAAGCGAGCCGTACGCGGGAGAGGGAGAAAAAAAGGGGGGAAGCGCAAATATATCCGCGCAAGGTTCTAAATACGAACGTCTAAATATTATGTGTTTTCGACGCGAGAGACGCGGGCGGAGTATTTAAACGCTATATTTTCAGAATCCCGCTCGCGCGGGATTGTTTGTCCTCGAAGGGCGGGAGGGACGGGGGGCGCGGGTAGCCTTCCAGACTACGACTCGCGACGCGAAGGAGAAGAAACGTATATTTCTGTCTCCCCGCTCTTTCTTCCCCCCGCGATACGCTGTGCGCGATATAGGATATCACCTGCCGGAATGACTTGATAGATGCAGGGCGCCTCTTGCTTCCCTATCGCGTTCCTACCCCAACAGGTCAGGGCGCCGTAATCCCGCTCGGATTCGGGGGTGTAGACGAGCTCGCTCGTGGTGCCGTTGTTGCCGTCAAACTTGGCCGGCGCGACTTCGAAGTTCTCGCCGCTGTTGTTGAACTCCCAGACAAAGTCCACCTCGCTCGGGTCGGCGTCGACCTCGCAGCGCACCTTGACGGACTCCTCCAGCGACGCCCCGATAATCGTCACCTCCTTCATCCTGCACACCGGCGCGACTGGATGGAAGAAAAAGAAAAGGGGAACACGCGTCTTCGGTTGAACAGATAAAAACGGGGGGGTTTCGTTCTTTTTTTCCTCTCTTTTTCTCTTTCTCTCTCTCTCTCTCTCTCTCTCTCTCTCTCTCTCTCTCTCTCTCTCTCTCTCTCTCTCTCTCACTCTCGTCTCTACTATTGATCGGCGGAACTTCGACAGTCGGGATTATGCCGAGTTTAAGAGCCGTTTTATTCGCCCTTAATCGGGAGAATTATATTGTTCGGGAGAATTATATTGTTATTGCGCCGTAGGGCTTAGACGGGAGGGTTGAAAATAAATTGGCTTCTAAAATGTAATCCCTCATATCTGACGTCCGAGATATTTCGCTCCCGAGCACAATTACGCGCGGTTGGCATATTGTGTAACGCGTATTTTGGAGTTTACTGGAGGAAACAGGGGCAACGTTAAATGTAACTTTTAGCTGGGAAAGGCCGGGGGTTAATTCTCCCCGAGTAATATCTTTTCAATAATTGAACATGCCAATAATTTACTTCCATACGGATCGCGCAGTTAATTTATGATGAATTTATGATTTGCATACGTCGGCATTAATATTTACAATTATTCGTATCGTAAACGACACGTCCGAGGGGCGCGAGTCCGCTTGCGAGAAATACAACAAGCGCCATAAATTTTGTGGGGGCGCAAATATTTTGGCCGGCTCGCGGGGCGCGGGCAGCCGGGCACTTCCGCTTGAAATTCGATTCGTCCACAAATCTCTCGCCGGCGCGGCGTGTACTCGTCGGGATTACACATTCGCTTTCTGAGGTCCTCGTTATCGATTCGTGCTTGTCGCATCTATTATACTTACACTGCACTCTCAGGCTCACAATCGGACTCGTCGTCTCCCCGCGGTCGTTGCTGGCGAGGCACGTGTAATTTCCCGCGTTGTCGCGTCCTATGCCCTGCAGCACCAGGCTCTGGGTGCTCATGATGATACCGGCGGAATAGTTTTGCGTCAGCACGCCGCCCTGTCATTGATGGATTAACGCGTTTAACACGGGGGAGGCTGAGATTCCAGAACGATAGCTTTTTCCGCCATATTTCTCCGGTAATAAAAAAAGGAACGTGACAAATAGATTTCGCGTAAAGCTTTTCGTTTTCCCGCCTAGACTATCCGTCTACGTGGGATTCCCCTTCTAATGGATTCTCTTTTTCCACCCCCATAAATATTTGATTCGTATACCCGGCGCGCCGGCGTTCGCTCTTTCCCCAAATTTCCCGCTTTACGGAGTCCGAAGGCGACGGCGGCGGAGGCGAAATTTTCCAAGAAAATGCCAACTTTATTTCCGTTCATGAATAGTCGCGTCACGAAATATCCGTGCAATAAGCGTGAGGCAACAAGGTATTTGCCGCTCCCGGAGAAGTGGATGCAGACATGAAGAGACGAAAATTTTCCGAGTCCCTCCCTCCTTGTCGAGCAAAAATCGTCGTCTTCGTAAAACTGGCGTTTTCTCGGAAGTTTCGGGTAACGCTTTAAAAAGTTACGCCGTATAGTATCGCGGCTCGAACCGATCCTTATCGAAATAAAAAAGCCATTACCGATTCTCGTGCGAGTAGAAACGTAAAGTTCCCCGGGCATCCCGTATTTTTCGGACCCCGGTGTGTGCTTTTCGCGCTTAATCGCCGGAACTTTTTTTTTTTCGCCCGGAACTCGGAAACAGTTCGGTGGCTCGGCAGCCAAAGCTCGTGCAATCGAAATTTTAAAAGTGTAGACGCCGGCCTCGCGGAGGCAAACACTCCGGGATTAAAGTGGGTTCGTTGCTGACGGTGGTGGAACTTACGTTGTGGCGCCAAGTAATTTTGTGATGCTCCGGATTGGCGCGGACTTTGCATTCGAAGTACACATCGTCGCCCTCCTTTATGTTCTCCGCGTTCAGAGTGCTGCCCAGATGCAGCTGCACCTTAGGCGGGACTGGGGAAGGAAGAGAGAATTTCTCTCGGTTCTTCAATGTTTCACGCGCGCGACCGTAATGAAATATTTCGGCGGATTCCGGGGAAGTGGACGTGGAATATTGAAGCCGCCGGGAGAAACGCGAGCGGGCGAGAAGATATTAATAAGACACGCGATGTCTCGCCCGTGTACAATGGATTTAACAATTTAACGGGCTTCCATTTCCGCACATCTCGGGCCGGGGGGCAAACACGGCGGGACTTGTTGAGCGCCGTTTACGCCGCATTCGTGTGCGCGCAGATTTCAAATCTCTCCGACCGAGCCTGAATCTGTCGCGCGCGCATTAATCAGCGAACAAATATCATCACGGTCGATAAATGTACACTGATCGAGATATCTCTTCGCGGGTCGTTTCCCCCCGCGGCTTAAATCATCTCGATCCGCGACATCGCAGGATGTGCCCTTCGCGGATTAATCGTATGCGACAAACCGGAAGAATTGCCACTTGAAAAGATGATTATAAAATGAAAAATACAAAGACAATCAAATTCACGGGGCTCCGACGTGTAATCACAATTCGAAGGAATAAAGGATGCAAGAGCCAGGGATGTCAGTGTCTAAATGATTGTAATTTTCTATTTCATTTTTGCGCATTGCGGAATTTGTGTAGTTTCTTTAGTCCTCTGGTTGAATGTACAATAACTATTAATTTTAAGCTTTTAGTAGCTCGTTCTATTATCGGCCTTTTCCTTTGTGATTTTACAAAAACACGAGCCTTGTTCAGTTGCTTGTTTAATTTTTAAATTTATTACGAAAAAAACTTACCTCAGCCAGGATTTAACATCCTGTCTTGGCTCTCACATCCTTTATTCCTTCGAGCAATATATAATTTTATAGATACAAAAATGTGAGCTATAGCGGGACGTTATCGGGGAGAAATTGACTCTGCGGAAACCGAGAGAGCGGCTCCAGCCGAGGACAACGGCGGCCGCCAGGCACTTACAGACAACATTCAACTTGAAGAAGTCCTCCAAGTACGCGTCCGCCAGGGCCGGGTTCTCGCCGCGGCACTTGAGCATCTTGCCGTGATCGTCGGGGACGGGCGAGAATATCAGGGTGCTCAGCACCGCCGACGCGTTGCCGCTCTCCATTACCTGCTGGCACATGCGAAAATTGCAGGATATACCGTGGCGACGTAATCCGAGGGAAAGCAGAGCGTCGACGTTTGAGAAAAAAAGTACTTGGTTATCGACCTTGCCGTTCCGGAACGTCTCGTTTCCCTCGATCCAGGTGACGCGTGCGCGGGGATGCGAGCCCGTCGTCTCGCAGGTGATGGAGTAGTCCTTCTCCGTCTCCATGACCGTTAGCTTCGACAGTATCTTCACGGTGAGCGGTTTTACTGGAACCAACCGGCGAATCGAGTTTATTGCGCGCTGTGTCGCGCGGGTGATGCCTCTTACCCGCTTCCCTTAAGGGGATGCTGGAGTGATTCTGCACTTTTTGCACCTTTCGCTCCGAGAACTGTCGGATCGTGAAAGCGTTTGTGTAATATATAAATTACATTTTTTTGGTACAGACTGACAGTGTTCCACTGGTCCGGCTAAATCGGAGAACAGCGTGGTATCGTTGAAATTTGGCAGCCTAACAAAAAATTTATTCACTTGAAGAAGTTAAGGATGGTTCACTTATAACTTATTCGAGAGAATAGATTTTTTGGTCAAGCTTCTAAATTTACTTTCAACGATACCAAGCTGTTCTCTGATTTTTTTTCTTCTGATTTGTCCGATTAGTGGAACACTGTATGTACACAAAAGCCATGTAATTTGTATATTACACAATGTTTTCACGAATTGACAGTTAAGCAGCGATAAGTTATAAGTTACCTATAACTTATTCAAAGGACTAGATTTTTGTTAGGTTTCTAAACTTAATGTCAATGATACCATGCTGTTCTCTGATTTAGTCCGAGTAGTGGAACACTGTCTGTACACAAAAGCCATGTACACGATTTGTGTATTACACAGATGTATTCAAGAACTGGCAGTTCTAGATGCAAGAAGTGCAGAATCACTCGAGCATGCCCTTAAAAGCATCAGGCTCCGACTCGCGACGTCAAAAAGTCACGAGGTCGTAGGAGTCCATAATTAATACTGGGAACGCAAATCCTCCCCGGTGCCCCGGCACGAGCCTCCGCGGCGGCTATCGCTTTTGAAATCCCCTGGCGTCCCGTGTCACAGATTTGCGGGCGATGATTTTTCATTAAACCGGTTACATACATATACACACAATGTATACTTAACGCTAATCTGACCGATATCGGTTTTGAAAGATTACAAACGTCGCTTTTTGATAAAAATAGCCGTTTGAGCCGGGACGAAAGTATGACGAACGGACTATTTCGCTCGCTCGAGATTTGGTCGAGTTGAATAATTAAAGAAAGCTAAATTTATTTTCGCAAGCGCGCGGCAAGCCGTGAGTTATCCGGCGCGCCAGGGTCACCGTGTTCCTACTTTCAGCAAACCTGCCAATAATTTATCGGGCCGATACCAGAAACGCGAAAGGATTACTTTCCGCGGTCGAAATTTAACTAATATGAATTATTAACGGGCTGAATGCCGCGGGGATTTTGATTAACTTTGCAAAAGCGTAATTAGAGATTGTGCCGACCAATATTGCGGTAAATAAATGCCATATTTTTGTCAAATGCCCTCGTTTAATTGAGCTCGCCGGCGACGCATGCGACTTTCTAAATGCGGCCAGCTGCGCTTTGCGCGCGTGTCAAACGGGGACGACACCAACGCGCTAATGACTCGGATGACACTCGGTCTTTTGTAACTTTTCGCCGTTTGGCAGCTTCAAAACTCATTTGCCTTTGTGCGGAAAAATTATCGCACGCGAAATTTAAATGAGGATCGCTCGTACGTATATCAATTTTCCGCGACAAGAAAAATATATGTAAATCCCAGCAAATATCTATCGCAGTACGAGCGGCTGGACGGGAGGTATCGAGCTGGGTCGCGCCGTCGAGAGGAAAGAGCTAGTTCCTCCGGGCGACGGAAAATCTCCCTTCGGCCAGGGCCAGGGGATCGTCATCGGGCGAAGGGTGGTACTCACGATAAACGTCGAGGACCACGGTCTTCTCCAACGGCGGGATGAGATGCGTGTTGGCCGCCTGGCATTTGTACGTGGTGTTCCAGTGTTCCCGGCGCAGCTGCGGCACCGTCAGTTTGCTCACGACGACGTTCTGGCCGAACTCCTCGAGCCTGCCGTCCACCTCCTTGCCGTTCACCAGCCAGCTCACCACCGGCGTGGGTTTCCCTTCGCGCGGAAAGCACGGAAAGCACGGAAATTATACGCGGCTAATTAACTCTCCCTGCCCTCTTCCCTCCCCGGTCTCGTCGTCGATCAGTCTCGCGTGACAGCAGACAAATCACCGGGGCCATAATTACCCTTAATACCGGGTGTCTCCGATCGGGCGCGCCCGCGTAATACCCGGCCACTTGGAGGCCCGGGCTCGTATTTAATTGCTAACGATAGCCTGCGGTATCTCCTCGTTTTTATTTGTTCACGCGATCTTGCGCGCGCGCGCGAGGGGTCACGTTGGGATTTATGCGCGCGTAAAGCGGGACCCGACCGGGTAATTTGTCGCTCTCTCTCGCCGAGATTCGTATCTCGACTAAACATATTAATGAGAAACCTGATTTCCCTCAGGGAGGAATTAACGGATAAAATTTTACAAACACGAAAACGCGTGACTACCCACACGGAACGGAAATATCTATTAGATATCTAGCGGATGTCCACGACGGATATTAAGGACGTCCACGAATATCTAAAAAAGTATTCGTTAGATGTGCTTTAGGTAGCCAAATGTCCGCCATACGAGATCTAATAGATGTCCATAGGATATTTGTGCCAATATCCATTAGACATCCATATCAGTATCTAGTGGACATTTATACAGCTGTCCCATAGATATTCGTTACATGTATATTAATATTCGCCCGTTAAACAATTTTTCACATAGAATTATTTACAAAACGCTGTACATAGGTTTGTAAAATTATGTATAAAATTTGTTCATGCACAACTATATATGATATACCTATGTGTCAAATTCGTCGGCTCGCCGTTTACATTATTGCAGGATGATTTTTAATTATGAGAAAGTCTAACGCGCGATTACCGCGTCGCGGCAGCAAGTGGTATTAGTTTGAATATCTAATGCATATCCTTGGTAGCTATTCGGTAGACATGAATATGTGGACGATACGTAAATATCTAATGGATAATCTTGGTAGCTATTTGGTGAAC